AGCCCAATGTGGGGCTTGATCTCAGGACCCTGGGATTATACCCTGAGCCAAAAGTAGATTCTTAGCTGACTGAACCACCCAGGCACCCCTGAAAGAAATTTTCTATGTGTGATTAAGGACCCTGAGATGGGGAGGTTATCCTGGATTATCTGGATGGGCCCTAGGCAATCATAAAAGTCCCTACAAGGATCTAAGAGTGTCAGAGTGAGGGGAGGAGGTATTAGGATGGAAACAGAAGTTGGAGTGAAGCGGGGCCACAAGTCAAGCAACGTCACAGAAGTCAAGGAAACAGATCTCAAGAAGCTGCAAAAGTCAAGGAAAGAGATCCTCCTCTAGAGCCTCTAAAAAGAATACAGCCCTGTGGACACATTTTAGACTTCTACCTTCAAAAATGTAAGATTTAAGTTTATGATGACTATAGTTAATAATACTATTTTATATATTTGTAGTTGCTAAGAGAGTAGATCTTAAAAGTTCTCATCACAAGAAAAAAAAGTATAAGTGTGTGTGGTGATAGATACTAATTAGACTTATTATGTCGATAACTTCACAAAATACAAATATCTCAAACCGTTATGTTGTACACCTGAAACTAATATAATGTCATATGTCAATTACATCTTAATTTTTAAAAAGATAATACATTTGCATTGTTTAAATTCACTAAAGTTTTGGTAACTGGTTATGGCAGCTAAAGGAAACCAGAGATTATGGTATCTGGAAATGAGATACTACTATAACAAATATTTTGAAATCTGGAAGTGCCTTTGGAATTGGGCAATGGGGAGAGGCTAGAACTTTGAGGAGCATGATTTTAAAATGCCTTAGACAGGTTATAGGTAGAAGTATGAGTGCTAGTGACTCAGCTAGTGAGAACTCAGAAAAAGCATAATAGAAATAAACCCCATATTGGTTTTTATAAACATCTAAGCAGACTGTGAGTAGAAATATGCAGGTTAAAAGTGCTGCTGGTGGGGCGCCTGGGTGGCTCAGTGGGTTAAACCCTCTGCCTTCGGCTCAGGTCATGATCTCGGGGTCCTGGGATCGAGCCCCACGTCGGGCTCTCTGCTTGGCAGGGAGCCTGCTTCCCTCTCTCTCTGCCTGCCTCTCTGTTTGTTTACCTGTGATCTCTGTCTGTCAAATAGATAAATAAAATCTAAAAAAAAAAAAAAGTGCTGCTGGTGAGGGCTCAGAAGGAAATGAGGAACATATTATTAGAAACTGGAGAAAAGGGGATCCTGCTTATAATAGCACCAGAATGTTTAGCTGAATTGTGTCCAGAAGTTGTATGAAAAGTGGAATGTGTAAGTGATAAACTTGGATATTTAGCTAAAGAGATTTCCAGGTAGTGTTGAAGCTGTGGTCTGGCTTCTTCTTGCTAATTATAGTAAAAGTAAGAGGAAAGAGTGATTGAGGGAGGAACTGTTAAGGAAGAAGGAGCTGGGACTTGACGATTTGGGAAAGTCTCAGTTTGTTCAATTGCAAAGGGTGGAAAACTAGGAGATTCACTGTCAGGAATGCATGTTGCTGAAAGAAGGTGAAGGATGTAGCTGAGTATTTTTTGCTAGTGCCTCAAAAGGATAAGAAGGTTAAAATATTCAGTCACATAGATATTAGGTGTGTAATTCATGGGTCTTCTCAGCTATCTCAGCAGAAGCCAGAAACAGAGATGAGATTCTCCAGGAAAGACCCGGAAGAGTTCTTGTTTAATAGAGTTAATCCCTGTGACATACATAGGAGACCCACAAGCTTCTTGAAAATGTTTTATCAGCAGAAACACTGCTGGCTTGGATGAAGGAGATGGAGAGATGTTGAAATGAAAGAAAGGTACTGATTCCTGAATCCTACCAGCAGGATACTGGCTGATAAAACCACCCAGCTGCAAGCACATGCTACCATTCATGACAAAGAAAGGATGACTGCAAAGGTAGAGCTGTTAAGACCAGAGGCAAAGTTTTGAGCCATAATTCCCAGGCCTTGAAACCTAACAGTTTGCCTGGCTGTAATTTAGAATTGACTGGACCAGTGATTTCATTCCCACCCTCCCCCCTCCTTTTTTTTTTTTTTTTTAAAGATTTTATTTATTTGAGAGCAGGAGTGAGAGCAAGAGAGAAAGAAAGAGAAAGAGAGAGTACAAGTAGGGCAAGGGGCAGAAGTGGAGAGAACTCTGCACTGAGCACAGGGCTTAATCTCACGACCCTAAGATCAGGACCTGAGCTGAAATCGAGTCTAATGCTTTACTGACTACACCACCCAGGTGCCCCCTTTCCCCTCCTTTTTGAATAGGAATGGAATTGGAATCCCATGTACCTGGGAAATAGCCTGATGAAAAGTAGTGTTTGATAAAACTCATCTCGTCACTTTGTGCTTACTGAATTGCAAAGAGAAAAGGCTGGAAACATGAAAACCTGTTAAGATGTAGAATTAATTAAAAACTAGAATGGGGAAGTAGGAATTTAAAGGATGAAATTAATATTAGAGATTTTGTAAAGAAAAACGTTGCTAGAACCTGAAGATTAGAGCTTGGGTCTAGATACTTGAAATCTGGAGGTCAGTACTAATCTTCAAGGATGCATATTTGATGCAAGCATGAATGAATTTATGAAACACTAAGGTCAAAGCATCATCCTCTGATTACTTCCTTCTCATCTGGTCCTTTCTACCACTATCCCTTATTGTAGATAAATCCAACTCATGTTTAAAGGTCTAACAAAGCCCTAATTTAATTCACTAAATTCTTTCTGACTCTTGTAGCCCTCATTTAGGGTCCCATTCTCTAAGCATAATATATAACTTGGACTCTAGAATCTCATGATACTCAGAGCAAAATGCTTTTATGGGTATTCAAGTTTAATTAGCTATATCCTATATCCCCCTTATATATTTATAATGAACAGTGGCATATTAAGGGCTCTTAAAATGGCCTGGAATAAAGAACCTTGTTTAACTTTGTTCATTTCAATGTTTCCCAAACTTGTTTGGCCATCAAGGGGAGGGGCCACATCTTATACTTGTGTGTCAAGTGTCCAATAAATACATAAATTCACAAAAATTCAGTTGACATAGGCATTTCTATATAGTGATGCTTATATTCTACTTTGTATCTACACATAAAGCTGTAATCTTCTAAAGACCCACAACAGATTTTTGTGTACATGTATGTATTTACATAGATATTATCTAACAGAAGTCAGAAATGAAAGTATCAATGAAAAGTAAGAAAATGTGGGGCTCCTGGGTGGCTCAGTGGGTTAAAGCCTCTGCCTTCGGCTCAGGTTATGAACCCAGGGTCCTGGGACCGATCCCAGGGTCCTGGGACCGATCCCAGCGTTGGGCTCTCTGCTCCCCAGGGAGCCTGCTTCCTCCTCTCTCTCTGCCTGCCTCTCTGCCTACTTGTGATCTCTGTCTGTCAAATAAATAAAATCTTTAAAAAAAAAAAAAGTAAGAAAATGTGTCATGATGCTTTAATTAACAAATGAAATAAACATTGTATTAAAATGAATTGAATTTAATATTAATAAAGTCCATTTAGGATTCTTTTTACATGTCTTAGCTCTATACATTAACTTACCAATGGCAGCTTTCCCCCAGATTTGTACATGGAAGTCTGTTTTCCCTTTTGTGGATTTATTTAATATCTGAAGGCTAGTTTTAAATCTCTGTTGTTGCTCATTTTTTTCATCTCCTTCCCAAGGATTCCATTCTTCACTTCCCAGAGTAGACTGTTCTGTGTTTTAAAAGAGTAACAAAAAAATGTTTATCAGTAAGGTAGAGCTGTAGTTGTAGATAAATTCAAGCCATTTAAATTAGGTGTCAGGGAGTCCTAATTTCAGCTTTTCATAGAGCTAAAGCAACCGAATTTGAACTGACTAAACACATACAATTAAAAAAATAGGAAATCAGAATTTAATTTTTATTAAATCTTTATTCTGAAAGATCTTAAAATGTTAATAGGAGACACAAAATGATCTCTCACAAATGAGACCTTCTAAAATAACTGGATAATAGGTATCGTTATAAGCTTAGCATTTGCTATTCTTAATACAGTTTTATTTTTTTTAAATTTTATTTATTTATTTGACAGACAGAGATCACAAGTAGGCAGAGAGACAGGCAGAGAGAGAGGAAGGGAAGCAGGCTCCTGGCCAAGCAGAGAGCCCAATGCGGGGCTCGATCCCAGGACCCCGGGATCATGACCTGAGCCAAAGGCAGAGGCTTTAACCCACTGAGCCACCCAGGCACCCAACATTTGCTATTCTTTATAGATCGTGTATATGTAAGCTATACATACAAAGTTGACTTCAGAATGGAAAATGTCCAACAGTTCTATTGAGGAAAATTCTGAAAATAGGGAGAGATAAGTCTGACTCCGATTCTGACATAGGTCAAAATACAGGACAGATGACCACCATCTGGAGGTAAGGCACCGAGGCCTTCCCAAATCAGGACAAAATTAGAGAAGGCTCTTTGTTTCAATGAGGAAATAGAGGTCTTCAACCCAGCGGCCTTCCCAAGAATCTCTGCCATTCCGTGACAACGCCTTGCAAGTTCAAGACGTGTTTCACAGGAGTGCGCGCCAGCCCGCTTTGAGGGCGGGCAGTGGGGCCGGCTTTTGAGATTCGGGCGAGGACTGAGACAGCCGCACACGCTCCGAGCCCGAGCCCGAGCCCGAGCCCGAGCCCGAGCCCGAGCCCGAGCCCAGGGCCGGCTACCGAGAGCTGGAGGAGGCGAGGCGCACCCTGGAGCCTGGGGGCACCCCCGGACCCGCGAGCCGGGTCAGCTGCAGCCCAGTGTCCTACCTCGGCCTCGCCTCTCCCGCGCCGCGGCCGCCCCCTTCCTTAGGCCCCGCAGAGACGCGGCCGGCGGCCGGCGGCGGCGCCCGAAGAAGACGTGGTAGGCGGCGTAGAGAGAGAAGAGGCAGTACAGAGCGATGAGAAACGAGCAGAGCCGCTTCCGCGTCAGCCGCATCCCACTCCGGCTTCCGGTCCGCCACCACCACCCTAGTGCTGGGCCGGAGGAGAAGCCGGAGCTCGGGGCCGTGCCCCTGCGGCTTCAGGTGCTGGCCCAGGCCGGGCGGGGACGGAGTAACCAGAAATAACCCCTCCTCCTTTCAAGCCCCACCCCGGAGCTGCCCCGGAGCCTCCGCCCCGCCCCTCGCGCCGGCCCAGCTCAGGCCCCTCCCTCAGCCCCTCCCAAGCCTCTCCTAGGGCTTCGCCTCGCTCCGCCCCGCCCCGCCCTAGGCGTGGCTTCTTCCCGGGCTTTGGTAACCTGTAGGCGTCGGTCTGCCGAACTGGACGTTGGGAGATCTCATCTTAACCGCGCGCTGCTCCTTGACCTCTGTAGTTTACAGATGGCCTTTTTCAACCCTGTCCGCCTCCCCATGTACGTAAAAGCTTACCTGTCATCTGGCCATTAAAAAAAAACAAAAAACACCAACAAACCCAAACACCACCACCCACCATGATCCATGACGTCCATGTGAAGGCATGGCCCATTCTAGTTTTTGTTCCCAGAGCTTACCAGGGGGCCTGCCACATTACAGATGAATGATATACATGTCTATTTAAAAAAGCTAAGTGGTGGAGTGCCTGGCTGGCTCAGTTGGTGGAACATGGGCTCCAGGTTGGGAGTTCGAGCCCCACAGCTGGGTGTAGAGGTTGCTTAAGAATAAAATCTTTAAAAAAAGAAGTGGTAACCATGGCACAACATTGTCAGCATAATTAATGCCACTCAGTGGTACACTTAGAAATGGTTAGAATAGCAAATTTTGTTATGTATATCTTACTACAGTATTTGAGAAAATTAAGTTTTATTACTGATAAGACTTGAGTGCACACAGGCATATAGTCTTTTGTCAAATAAAGGCTGTAAAATTGAATCCTGTCAATAAACTTTCTTTGTCAAGTCCTTGTGAAGTTGGGCTGCAGTTTTTTGTCGGTTACATTTAGTATTTTTTTTAAAGTAATATCTTCACCCAACATGGGGTTCAACTCATGACCCTGAGATCAAGAGTCACATGATCTACCGACTGAGCCAGCCAGGTATCCCTGAGTATTGCTTTGTCCTTCAACCTGTTTGGGAGTCTTGGTAGCTAGAGAGTTGTAGAACACAAGTGTGGAGTGGGTCATCAGAGCCTTCCACTGGCTGTGTCTTGACTAATTCAACCCTCTAAACTGATTCAGTCTTCTTCTTAACATTTCTGGATAAAGGTTCCATCTCCTCCATTAGCAAAAAACTTACCTTTCCAGAATTTTATGTTCTTGGGGTCAGGTCTCTGTCTTCTATCTTGACATGTAGATAATTTGATAAGAAAAATTTTATGGCTGGGAAGAAATTTAGGTCCAGAGGGGTGACGTGACTTGACCAACAGCTCATACTTTTTTTGATATCTGACTAAAATTCCTACATCTGTTCTCAGTTTTGTGTTCCTGACATTATTGTAGTTATGTTCTGGTCCCTCATCACATCCTTTTTTTTTTTTTTTATATAAATTTTTTTCGTTTGTTTGTTTTGTTTTGCTTAACAATATCAGAACCAATAACTAACTGCTTGAGTTTAATCATAGATCTTAATGATCTAATTTCCAATTTGACTCTGAATAATGTTCATTTGTTCCTCTAAATTAAATATATTATCAAAGAATGACTCTGTAGCACAGCTGAGCATATAAAACAAGGTAGTACAAAAAGGGAGAACAAAGAAGTTCCCAAATTACTTTGAGTACAATCAATGGGATAATAATGTATATCCAATCAAGCTATTTTCTTACTCAAAACTGCCACTAAGTGAAGAGGTGAAAATTCCTTTACTTACAGATTCTCATTTTTGGTCTTTTCTCCAGAGAAATATGATGTGCTTTTTGTTTTATTTTGTTTCAGGTTTGGCTTTTGTTGTTGTCATTAAGAATCTTTAGAGTGGGGCGCCTGGGTGGCTCAGTGGGTTAAGCCGCTGCCCTCGGCTCAGGTCATGATCTCAGGGTCCTGGGATCGAGTCCCGCATCGGGCTCTTTGCTCAGCAGGGAGCCTGCTTCCCTCTCTCTCTCTGCCTGCCTCTCTACTTGTGATCTCTCTCTGTCAAATAAATAAATAAAATCTTTAAAAAAAAATCTTTAGAGTGATATTTTAAAAAGAAAACAGAGCATTTTTGAATAGAAATAAACTCAATGATTTGAATTTGAAGGTGTTGCTGTTTTCAAGCAGTTAAGACACAGTACTGAGGAAGTATCAGCTCTGAGCCATAGTGAGGAATCAAAGAAAACTTCGTAATTTTCTAGCTGGAAGGATGGTGTTACTGCTTTTTTTTTTTTTTTTTAAAGTAGGCCCCACACCCAATATGTGGCAAGATTAAGAGTCACCTGCTTTACCAACTAAACCAGCAGATGCGCCCACTGTTACTACTGATGTAGAAGGAAAATACGAGATAGAGAGCCATTTTCTTAGAGGTGGATGATTCGTCTTTTTTTTTTTCCCAGTAAAATTTAAAGGCAACTCAGTAATTTGGGTGAAAATGAAATGTTTATTAGCAGGGTTAGATGAGACTAGAGTAGCAGGAGTGCCTTGTCTTTAGTGACTAATCTTTAGTGTATCACCTGAAGGCTAATAGATGCTTAATATGTGTTTGTAGATGATAATGCATCACCAGCCTTGGATCACTCTACAGATTTACTTTTCATAGTATCGCTGGTGCCTACTACAGGCTCTGGCATATTTTAGGTGTTTAGTAAATATTTGCCGGTTGAATTCTCTTTTTTTTTTTTTTTTTTTTTAGGATTTTAATTATTTGAGAGAGAGAGACAGTGTATGAGAGCAGGCGGGAAGGGGCAGAACCGGAGAGAGAAGCAGACTCCCGGTTGAGCAGGGAGCCCAATGTGGGACTTGGTCCCAGGACCCCAGGATCGTGACCTGAGCCGAAGGCAGATGCTTAACTGACTGAGCCACCCAGGCACCCCTTCTGGTTGAAATCTTATTAGTATTAAAAAAAATACTAGGTAGATCTACTGGGAATTGAGACCACCTGTAGCCACATAGCTTAAGTATCAGAACTGAGAACTCGGGCCATCTACACTAACATGACTTTTCTCTTGTAGTAAATTCTTACCAAAGAGGCTAAGGCCATAAATTAATAACTAACTTCACTGTTTATTTTAGCTAATTCCTGCAAACTAGTTAATCTGAACAAAGAGCTCAATCTTCATGGCAAATATTGTTTAGCTGAAATAGATGGTTTATCTGGGCAAATACTTCACTTAGGAAACTTATGAAATTCTTTACTTATGGAAAAACATCTTGGTTATCAAAACTTGTTTCAAAATCATTGTAATGGTGTGCCCACCTATTAGGGTGTCCACTTGTCTTTGTTTGCCCAGAACTGAAGGGGTCCCTGGGATGTGGGGTTTTTAATGCTTAACTCTGGGAAAGTGCCAGAACCAAGGACAAATTGGCCTCCATACCACCAGCCCTAAGCTATTATGTCAAAAACTCTGCTCAACCTCCCCCACCCCAATTCCTTGTCTTAAAAGAGTTGTCCTAAGCCATTTTTACTCAGATGCCCATAACCTATAAAGTATCACTTGCGATCTTCTTTCTTCTGAGGCTTCTAAGTTCCTGTGAAAGCCCTGGTCTCCCTTATTGTAGTAGACTTAATAAATTTAGCTTTCTTTAATCACCAGGTTACTCTGGTGGTCTCTTGGGAGAGATGGCAGCTGTTGTATGTATATTTTTGCTTGGCCCATCTTTTCTGTGGGAGTGACAATTATTTAAAGATAGAGAATATTTATTTTATAGCTTACATAAAACACCCACTGTATCAATGTACACTCAAGTACTACTAATGGTTTTAATGATATGCAAGTTACAACTAATTTGGGGTTGAGGTTGTCTTGAATAGGGAAGAGGCCCATACATATGGAAGTATTGTTTTGCTTCAAACTACAAATGACTGTACAATTTGAAAATAAATTATGGTGATGTATTTAGGTTACAAAGGAATATATCTTTGAATTGATCTCAGTATAACAGTATTCATTTTTCTTTCTCTTTGCTTTCAATGTGTGTGCTAAGGCTGAGAGCTACTTTCTGTATATTACCGGAATCTCCTCAGGCTGGGATGGGTGAGAGGAGAGAGAAGGAAAGACAAAGAAAATTGGTGGGGTGGTGAAGCAGTGTGGAAAAAGAGACCAAGTAAATAAGTTTGAGTTTGGAGCTCCTGGGATAGGGAACCAGACCTGGGAAGGTAAAAGGTGGGAGGGAAGGTATAGATAAAGGAACATGAGATAAATTAAACTAAAGCAAGTCTAAACATTTTATTTGGTGAAATTTTCTTCTCTGTCTGCAAAAGGAAAAATTATTAATCAACAAAATATTAAGAAAGAAGTCCCAATGCCTTCTGCCAGCTGCCTCAGAAATAGTACACATTTATTCGTAGAAATCCACAGTACAAATATTTTGAGATACCTGCCAAAATTCTTCCCTAAGTTTATCAATGTTTCAGTAATACTCAAGAAATGTATTAACTACTTTAAGAGATTTTTTTTTTTTTACGGCTTGGCCTGCCAGAAGTCTTTGCTTCAAACAAAGTTGTTGTTGTTGTTTTTCTTTTTTTTACAGTCAGATACTTCTGGTAGGGGTTGGCCATGTAACAACTTATAAGTCATTAACTATATAGCTATATTAAATTTATAAGAATCAATCCCAATAAGATACATTTTTTTCTGTGTAAGTATGGCGATGATACAAATAAGTGAAGAAAGTCTACTGAAATTTATTGACATTGGGAAATAAGCAAATTGTAATTTTTTTTCCTTCTGAAGATTTATTTATTTGAGAGTGAGAGAGAGTGCAAATGAGCGGGTGGGGAGGGGCGGAGGGAGAGGGAGGGAGAAAATTACAAGCTCAGAGCCAGAGGCAGGGCTTAATTTCATTACCCCCACCCCATACACACACACACACACTCAAGATCACTACGCTGAGCTGAAATCAAGTGTTAGACACTTAACTGACTGAGCCACCCAAGCACCCCAAATTGTAATTTTTTTTAAAGATTTTATTTATTTGACAGAGATCACAAGTAGGCAGAGAGGCAGGCAGAGAAAGAGGGGGAAGCAGGCTCCCCGCTGAACAGAGAGCCCAATGCAGGGCTCGATCCCAGGACCCTGAGATCATGACCTGAGCTGAAGGCAGAGGCTTAACCTTCTGAGCCACCCAGGCGTCCTCTTTTTAATTTTTTTAAAGGTTCTATTTATTTGACACAGAGATAGAGAGTACAAGTAGGCAGAGCAGCAAGCAGAGGGAGAGGGAGAAGCAGGCTCCCCACTGACCAGGGAGCCCCATTTGGGGCTCAATCCCAGGATCCTGGGATCATGACCCCAGCTAACGGAGGCCACTTAACCGACTGAGCCACCCAGGCGCCCCTGTAATTTCTTTTTAAACAGCCAACTAGACAATTAACAAAAGCCAAAAGACACAATTAGAATATAAAGACAGCAGAACCATGAAGTGACATGGAAGGCAGATGAATAGAAACAGGTTCTGTGGAAACATGGCTTCTTTCGCCCATCTTTTTCTCCCTCCTTCCCCCACCCCCAGCAACCTCTCACCTTGATGTACAATTTCATCACTGCTGCAATGTTTCATTACAATTTTTGTTTGTGTATGACTTGTAATCTGCTAGCTTTAATCAAAAGCTATTAAAGATGATTACTTTTATATGCATAAATGCTACCGCTATCTGTGGACCCTATCTTACTACGAGCTCTCTGGGTGGGCGTCATAGCCACTGAGAGTGATTCATAACAGCTAGAACCCGTACGGCTCCATCTCTAATTTACCACTCATTTCATTTGCATTTGTTAGTTTCCTAATAATAGCTTGGAGAAGTCGACTGAAGAGCCCTAAATGTGATGTAACTGTTTCAACCTCTTTTAGTGGTTATTAGTTAAATCCTTCTGTGTTTTTTGCTTCTCTCATTTTTGTGCTTGCAAGAATGTTGACATTCGGTAAATTCCTCAATTTTGACCTCCCCTCACAAGGTCTTGATGGCTGGTTCATTTTCCTTTAAATTCATCAACTTCTCACATTTGTATTTCTATTAACTCACCTCAATCTCTTCTTTCCCAACAAAATAGACACTACAGACTAATACTGCACATCCAATAGTCTGAAATTTACTTTTATTTTTTACAAACTTGGCTGTGTTTGTTTTATACCAGGGGTTACTGCTAGTTACCACAAATGGATTGGATAGCAGTCCATCTTTTCTTAGGATCTAGAACAGTTTATACAGCATAGAAAATACCTAATCCTTGACAGTTCATTGTACTTTCTGCTAATATTCACTGGCCTAGAACTATTTTTAGAGATAATTCTTTAATAACATTTCATTGGGCTTACTCATGTTTGTAATACATCATGAGTCTGTTTTGGCGATTTTAATTTTCCAAGAGAACAATTTACATCATTAGGATTGAAAAATACTCAGACATATCCCTTTTCTAATTTACAATTTCTTTTTGGGGAATTTTATTTTATATTTAAATTTTCAGATTTTATATTTGATTATTTTATTATTTGCTTTCCCCTCCCTTTCCAGCCATCTTTAGATTTATTTATCAGTTCTGTTTTGCAATTACTAGATTATACATTATATTTTTCTTCCTTCTGTTTTCTTGTTTGTTTGACCTTTTCCCTAGTTTTTTCTTTCTTTCTTTTTTTTTTTTTTAAAGATTTTATTTATTTATTTGACACAGAGAGAGAGATCACAAGTAGGCAGAGCAGCAGGCAGAGAGAGAGGGGGGAAGTAGGCTTCCTGCTGAGCAGAGAGCCCAACATGGGGCTTAATCCCAGGACCCTGAGACCATGACCTGAGCCGAAGGCAGAGGTCCAACCCACTGAGCCACACAGATGCCCCTTCCCTAGTGTTTTCAATTGGAAAGTTGGTTTAAAATTTTTTCATTCCTTCTTAATAATAAAATCATAGAAACCTATTAATTTATCTCTACAGCACTGGTCATATTCTGAAAGTGCAATATTTTTAATCTTTGATGTTTAGGTTTTTCATTTAATCTAGTAGGGATTATAGAAGACAGTGGGTATTTCATTTATTTATTTACTAACATTTTATTTATTTATTTTAAAGAGAGAGAGTGCTAAGGGGCTAGGGGAGGAAGAGAGAATCTGAAGTCAACTCCGCACTCAACATGGAGATGACCCAGGGCTGGATCCCATGATGATGAGATCATGACCTGAGTGGGAACCAAGAGTAGGACGCCTAACCAACTGAGCCACCCAGGCACCCCAAGAGTGTGGGGTGTTTTAATTACCAAGTGGTAAACATTTAACTTGGCTTTTTAATTTTACTAGTGTGGTGGCTGAAATGATATTCTCTAGTTTTAATGAACAATTATCTAGTTCATAGTGAGTTTAAGTATCTTCTGATGTATTTATTTTTATTTTCCTCTTCTGTAAATTGTCTATATGTTTTGAAGAGTTTTCTATTCATTGTTTATATTTTACTTTTTTTTGTTTTAAAGATTTTATTTATTTACTTGACAGACAGAGATCACAAGTAGGCAGAGAGCAGGCAGAGAGAGAGAGGGGGAAGCAGGCTCCCTGCTGAGCAGAGAGCCCGATGTGGGGCTCGATCCCAGGACCCTGGGATCATGACCTGAGCCGAAGGCAGAGGCTTTAACCCACTGAGCCACCCAGGCGCCCCAAGTACATTGTTTCTAATGATCTGCAATGTCCCTGTGTCATATAACTTTCTCTATATATATTACAAATGCATTATTCTGATTTTTGGTTGGTCAGTTACTTTTATTTATATTGCTTTTTATTATAAAGGCAGTCTAAATTTGGATATAGCTAAATATATCCATTATTTCTTTTATAGTTTGGTTTTTGTGTGTCTGTGTGCATGCATCCCCCTCCCCTTTTTTACGATCTTATTTTAAGTAATTTCTACACCCAGTGTGGGGCTTGAACCCCCAATCCTGAGATCAGGAGTTGCACGCTCCCCTGACCCAGCAGCCAGGCACCCCTGCATGCTTGCATTCTTTAAGAAAAACTTCTCTGGACAATTCCGTTAATTAAAATTGTATTGGATTTCTAGAATAATTTGGGTAGAGGTGACATGTTACAATCTCAAGTCTTCCTACCTTACAAGTTATCCCAATAACAACTATGGATAGACCTTTTTTTTTTTTTTAAGATTTTATTTATTTATTTGACAGACAGAGATCACAAGCAGTCAGAGAGGCAGGCAGAGAGAAGGGGGAGGAAGCAGACTCCCCACTAAGCAGACAGCCCGACGGGGGGCTTGATCCCAGGACCCTGAGACCATGACCCAAACCGAAGGCACAGGCTCAACCCACTGAGCCACCCAGGTGCCCCTGGATAGACCATTCTTAAATGACTGATCTGTAATGCTTCTTCTGCAACTTCAGGCTTTCTTGTGTGTGTCGCTCTACTTCTGATTTCTCTACTTTTCCTGTGTTGCTTACTAGAACTGTAAACATCTCCGTTACTATATACTCCCTATCTCAGAACTACAGCTTTATGTTAAGTCTTCACGTTTATAGGACAAGTCTCTCTAATCTGTTCTTCTCTTTTTAAAAAACTGTCTTGGCTATTCTTGGCCCTTTGCTTTTCTCTGTACATTTTAGAATTAGCCTGTCAAGTTTCACTAAAAAACCCTCTTGAATTGTAATTGGAATTTTATGGCATTTATAGAATAATCTAAGGATAATTAACTTTTTATGAAGTATTGACTTTTTAAGTCTATTTATGGGATTCAAATTGTGCCCAATTTAAGTCTGTTAGAAGCAATACTGTAGTGTTTGTCCCCTTATGGCCATGTGTGATGTGTTTTGGGGTACAGTTCCTGATATATACATGTCAATGGAGGAATGTGAAGAACATAATACTGAGGGACAAAAATGAAGCACAAAAGGAAGTGTATAGTAAGATGCCATTTAAGTCCAACTTAATGTGTTCCAACAAAGCATTATAATTTTATCCATAAAATTTGCATATCTTTTATAGGCTTTGCTTTTGTTTTTGTTTTTTAAAGATTTATTTATTTTAGAGAGAGAGAGAGAGAGAGCAAGAGCAAGGGGAGGGGCAGAGGGAGAGAATCTCCAGCAGACGCTCTGCTGAGCACAGAGCCCAGTGCAAGCTCCATCTCATAACTCTGAGATCATAACCTGTGCTGAAACCAGGGACCCCCAAATAGTAAAATACTTGAAGGCCTTCAGGACTCTTGGACTGATTTACATCAGTAAGAGAACCTGTTTTAGATGGAGTAAAAGAAATGTGTTCTTCTCCAATTACAGTTTTTTTTTTTTTTAAAGATTTTATTTATTTGAGAGAGAGGGCGAACATAATCAGGGGTAGGCACAGAGGACAAGGGAATAGCAGGCTCCCCACTGAGCAGGGAGCCCGACTCTGGGCTCCATCCCAGGACCCATGAGATCGTGACCTGAGCCAAAGGCACACACTTAACCGACTGAGCCACCCAGGTGCCCCTGCAATTACAGTGTCAAGCTCCTTTTGGCCAGCTTTGTCAGAGGGAGGCCACAAAGCATCATCTTCTGTAATTTCACTATCATCAGTAATTCTCTTCAGTTCCTCCATTATATTCTTGTGCACGTAAGCCTCCTTTCTGGTCATGACACCATTTCTGTAACTACTGTTGTTGGCATACCTAAGCTTTCTGTCCAGAAACTCATGTCCAAACTTGCCCTTGTGCTCTACCTTGTAGCGCAGGTGGAAATCACTGGCCATACCATTTCTGTTCCTTCTTTTTGTTTGTGTTTACAATTTAAATCACTCATTTATTTTTACCTTTTCTGTTTTACTTTACTTCAGGTTTGTGCCTTCAAGTGGTACATAGTTGGTTTTTACTTTTACTTTTATTTTTATTTTTATTTTTATTTTATTTTAAAGATTTTATTTATTTATTTGACAGACAGAGATCACAAGGATGCAGAGAGGTAGGCTGAGCAGAGAGCCCGATGCACGTGCTAGATCCCAGGACCCTGGGATCATGACCTGAGCCGAAGGCAGAGGCTTTAACCCACTGAACCACCCTGGCGCCCCTGGTTTTTACTTTTTAAATAGTATTTGCCTTTCATAATGGGACTCTAAGCCTTTTGTGCATGTGGTTATAATTTCTATGTATAGTCTTCTGGTGTCTTGCTTTATATCTTTTATTTAACCTTGCTCTTTCTTTTGTTTTTTTATCTTTGCCATATAGATGTTCTTAAATTCGTTTTTATCTTTTCCGATTTGGAAGCAATTCTGTAACTTTTAATTTTATAATAGTTTTTATAACTTGTTTTTAGTGAAAATAATTTTTAGCATTTATTTCTACAGTTGTCAAAGAAAAAAATAAATGACATATTTTGCTCCTTTTCTTCCTAGGTTTTGTGAGAATAACCTGGGTTTAGACTCAGATGTCACTGAATGACTGATTTGACATTCTACATTCTATTTTTCAGTACATGATGGTAGTAGAAGGTATTATTGTTAACCAATATTTGTATCCCTTCCCCAGAGGAGAATATATACTCTTGCCCTGTTGATTGACTTCAGGTGTGAATACAATTGGCTTTGGCTAATAAAACTTTGAGCAGAAGCATCGTGCAGGACTCCCAGGAAGAAGCTTTAGGAGTCAGCATGTGCCCTGCCATTCTCTTCCCTCTGTCACCCTGACTGGCATGTACTGGAGGGTTTCTTTGCCCTCATCATGGGCACTGCTGGACTGAGGGTGACTATTATGCAGGGCCCCACTGTTGATCAGTTGAGGACACATGCTGTTGTGAGAAGAACTAACCTCAGGTGTTGTAGGCCACTAAGAGCTTAGGATTGTTTGTTACCTCAGCACGATCTATCTTCTCCTAACTGATACAGTGATGTTTGGAGAAGTGTCTGACAAGATCTTGGGAGTTTGTTTGCCTTCAGAAAATTAATCTGGTAAAATATATCCACAGTGTGGTGATTCGTCTATTTTGGTAGTCAAGCAAGTGATTGTCTTCTGGAATATACAAGAACTGTCTTGGGGCAAAGCAGTTCTGTCTCACAGTTCAGGAATTAGTAGTCTCCTCAAGAGATATAGGTAGAGAGGCCCCTGAGAACAAAGTATTCAAATTGAAGAGTTTTGTCCTTATCCTGAAAGCAGCAGGAATCTGGTGAATGGTCTTAAGCACTCATTTATTCATTCAACAAATACGTATTGGCCAATGACTCAGTGCTCCCCACTATTTTTAGTGATGACACCAACTGTGAGCAAAATGAGTTCTTGCCCAAATGGACCTTCCTTGTGTCTAGATGACAAGCCACATCCCAGACACTGTGGTAATACAAGCAAAGCCAACTCAACAGTTTCTGACAGGACTATTCTTGTTTATTGCCTTAAAATTTACTGTGAGAAAGTTTTGATCAAGTGTTGGTGGTGTAATCCATCCTACAAGAATGTATGGGTATGGAACTATGTGAAAGATACCTAACAGTCAGCCTAAAAAAACAACATCTGAATGATTTGGGCCAACTTTCCAATTTAAACTAAAAACATTATAGGCTTGAAATGTATCTTGTGATTAAAATAAATGTTGATGAAAGGAATTTAAATAATCTTTGTAATAGATTTTGTGCTCTTTGCTCTGACATCGTAGCTGCTTAATTTAGCAAAAAGAAATAATGTTAGGTTACAGAAATGGAGTTCTCCAAAGAAAATCTCCTGGAAATTTTGGAATAAACAAATACTGCCAAAGTGAATTATTCTAAAAGACAGAAAGGAAACTGCATTTAAAGAAAGTGAACAGAGGAGGGAGCTGCAGATAGAATTTTAACTATATGAATGCAACTGTTTTTGTATTTGAGATTTCTGATATATACTAATATAAATGAGCATATTTATTAAAAAATTGTATTACACATAAAAATGACATGTTTCTCTATTTGTGAATTGGTAGTGTTTGCTCAGAGGAAAAGAATGCCACAGGGTCAATTCTAGATTTGTGATTAAAGATAATTACATTCAGAACTGTTTCTTTCATGAGGAAACCATTTTTCCGAGGTTACTCCGATCTAGGGGGCAAAACTGAATAATAATAACACTTTAAAAAGAAGAATGATTTCTGTGGCTTTGCCACCATCTAGTCTGCCTGGACGCTTATCTCTGAAAAGTGGCTTACATGTGATATGCTATGATATTTATTTGCTTACTGTTTCACTGGTTTGCTGATGATGCCTTCTGGGTAAGGCCCAGTGCTTTCACTACTGGTTCTGGGAGATGTCTACACTGAGACGGCCCTGCCATATTGTAATAGGTGTTACTAATATTTTTGCTAAGGGGTCTTTTGTCACTGCCAATACTGCTGGCGTGGTATCCATTGACTCTCCAAAATATTGTCACCACTGCCATTTCTCCATAACCCCTTTATCCTCTACTCAATTTTCATCCTAAGTAGATCTCTTTACCCTAATTTCCATCAGACCTCAGAATAGGCTCAGTCTTGCTTAAAACCCAGAATAAAAGCGGTTTAGAATCAAGCTCGAATCTCAAAAACTTTTAGGATAATTTTATTGTTATCCTTTGCAAAAGTCAGAGATAGAGGAGGGTGACCCCTATTGGTGAGTATATCTGAGACAATGTCTAGTCTGAACTTGCTCATGGAAGTAAGATACAAATACTTCCCATAATTATTCCTCTAATAACACATTATCTATAATTTTTCTCATGTACATTTCAAATGTAAGCTTGTAAGATGATCTGGTTTACAAGGTTTTTGAGCCCTGATCCCTTTCAGGGGAAAAAAACCAAAATCTGAGATTCTGTTACTGTGAATACTTTTCACCACATTCAATCAACATTATTCATATGATGTGGGCTTTAGGTCCATGAGTAATAACTGACATTACTTCTTGTACCTAAAACACATATTACGTATGTTTTACTAAAAATACATTTTGTGCAATCACTTCTGTGCTGGAAAACAGACACTGTCTCTAGAGCAAAGGGAACTTGCTGTGGATGTCAGAACAGGAGCGATTCTCATCAGAATTCCTCACAGGAAGAAAATGAAGGCTAAAATCTTCTACAGGATTTGTTCTGCTGATGTTGCCATCTTAGGAAGAAATGCTGATAACCATCTGTTTCGCATTAAGATATATATGGATCTTGAGATGTGGAAAGTTTTTACAATTAAATTTTATTTTGTTTCTTGAGGAGCAGGTTTGTAAACATGTAAATCCCCTCTTGTTGGCAGTGAGATGACATGAATGAGGAAGAAAATCGGTGATTTTTCTGAGGAAGAAATGAAAAATACTTCACAGAAGTTTTAACAAATTGAGATATAATTGACACATAACATTGTATTAGTTTCAGGTGTACAACATAATGGTTTGATATATGTATATATTGCAAAATGATTATCTGAATCAGTTTAGTTAACATCCATCACCTCATGAAGTTACACACTTTTTTCCTATAATGAGAATTTTTAGATCTACTTTCTTAGCAACTTTGAAATATACAACACAGTATTGTTAACTATAGCCCAAATGCTGTACATTACAGCACTTGGCCTTATTTATCTGAAACTTTGTATCTTTTGACTATCTTCACCCATATCCCCCACCTCCCACCCCCATCTCTGGCAACCACTAATCTGTTCTCTATATCAGTGAGCTTCTTCTTCTTCTTCTTCTCCTTCCTCTTCTCCTCCCTCTCTTTCTCCCCCATCTTCTTCTTCTCTAGATCCCACATATAAGTGAGATCATAAAGCATTTGTCTTTCTCTGTCTTATTTTACTTAATATAATGCCTTCAATTTCCATCTGTGTTGTTGCAAATGGCAGGATGTCCTTCTTTTTTATGGCAGCATAATATTCCACTCTAGTATTGTGCATTGTTGGTGGGACTGTAAGTTGGAATACCCACTATAAAAAACAGTATGGAGGTTCCTCAAAAAATTTAAAAAATTGAATTACCATATGATCTAGTAATTTCACTTCTGGTATTTATCCAAAGGAAACAAAGTCTCTAACTCAAAGAGATATCTGCACCCCATGTTCATGGTAGCATTACTGACATTAGCCAAGACATGGAAACAAACTAAGCATCCATCAACAGATGATTGGGTAAAGAAAAAAATAAATATATATACACATATAGACATACACACACAGAGACACAAAAATTCACTTTATTCTGATTGTCACACATAATCACATACTGTCAAACACACATCATGCCTTATCCAGAATAATGATCATGTAATAATAATTCACATATGACCAAACTACTTTCCACATTTTTTGGTAAAAGTCATTGGACAGGAAAGCATAAATATATTTATTGCTTGGCAATGATTATAGGATTTAACAAATAAGTGTTATCTTTCAGGGATTTGAAGTGGACTTCTGTGAATAAAGAGATTTTTCCTCCTTGGTCTTTGAATGCTATAAGAAGTAAGTACTCTAGCTAGAAAGCCTCAGTTCCAGACATGTGTGATGGTTGTTGACAGAATTATGGCCCCTAAGAAGATTCATAGTCTCTAATCTCTGGGACTATGAATATATTACCTTACACGGCAAAAGGGAAATTTGCAGAGGTAATTAAGGTTACTAATCATTTGATGTTAAAAAAGGGAGATTCTCGATTTTCTATGTAGATCCAACATAAGCACATGAACCCTTAATCCAGAAGAAGACAGAAGAGGAAGTCAGAGATGCAAGAGAAGTCAGATTGGGTTGAAACTCTAGAAATATTTAGAACACTGTTGCTGGATTTGAAGGAGAGAGCATAAGCCAAAGACAGTGGACACTCTCTAGAAGCTGAG